AAAAAAACGACCATGTATAGTAAGGCGTTTTTAGCCGAAAAAAAACGACCATGTATGGTAAGGCGTTTTTGCCCGAAAAAACGACCATGTATAGTAAGGCGTTTTTAGCCGAAAAAAACGACTATGTATAGTAGGGTGTTTTTGCCCGAAAAAAACGACCATGTATAGTAAGCCGTTTTTTTGCCCGAAAAAACGACCATGTATAGTAAGGCATTTTTAACCGAAAAAAACGACCATGTATAGTAAGGCGTTTTTAGGCGAAAAAAACGACCATGTATAGTAAGGCGTTTTTAGGCGAAAAAAACGACCATGTATAGTAAGGCGTTTTTAGGCGAAAAAAACGACCATGTATAGTAAGGCGTTTTTAGGCGAAAAAAACGACCATGTATAGTAAGGCGTTTTTAGGCGAAAAAAACGACCATGTATAGTAAGGCGTTTTTAGGCGAAAAAAACGACCATGTATAGTAAGGCGTTTTTAGGCGAAAAAAACGACCATGTATAGTAAGGCGTTTTTAGGCGAAAAAAACGACCATGTATAGTAAGGCGTTTTTAGGCGAAAAAAACGACCATGTATAGTAAGGCGTTTTTAGGCGAAAAAAACGACCATGTATAGTAAGGCGTTTTTAGGCGAAAAAAACGACCATGTATAGTAAGGCGTTTTTAGGCGAAAAAAACGACCATGTATAGTAAGGCGTTTTTAGGCGAAAAAAACGACCATGTATAGTAAGGCGTTTTTAGGCGAAAAAAACGACCATGTATAGTAAGGCGTTTTTAGCCGAAAAAAACGACCATGGATAGTAAGGCATTTTTAGCCGAAAAAAACGACCATATATAGTAAGGTGTTTTAGCCGAAAAAAAAACCCCGACCATGTATACTAAGGCGTTTTTTGCCGAAAAAAAGTACCATCTACAGCAGAGATCACCAAACTACAGCCCGCGGGCCGCCTCCACATTTCATCCGGCCCCCCTGAACAATACCAGAGAGTATTTTGATTTATTTTTCATCTATGTGTATTTGTATTTTATCATGAAGTTGGACTTTTGAAATAAAGTATTCCTTAGTTCTGAACTATTTTCATTGTTAACTATTTATCAGATTCTGACTGATACTCATCTGACTATTAGTTAGATGAATTAGATTTTCATGTTGGCAAACACGATTTTATCCCCAGTGCGTCTCACACTTTTTTTTTTTAACCAGTGATACAAATTGTCTCCTGTGTAATCTTTTTTTTTTTAATCCCTATTCACCAGAGGATCTGGATAGCCAAAGTTGGAACCCCCCAAAATTACCATCTGATAAAACAGGTCATGATTGCCAAATTAATCCCTTCTAAAAACATGTTTCAACATCAGATTACAAGGGTCGCAAGGGTTAAGGAAAGGACTTGCCGCGATCCTAACAGACAGAATTAGCATGTCAGAACGCAAATGTTGGCAACATTTGTTCGTGCGACTGACAATAAATAAAATGTTATCCTGCAAGAAAAAAAGTGGTTGCAAAAAAGTTGGCAGTTGACTAGGTTTGCCTTTATGTTGGGCAAAAAGTTATGTTACAATAAAAGAAAAGTGACTAAAATAAAAGTAGCTGCAATAATATAAAATGCAACATTAAAATTCGATTGTAATATTCTAAGTCACAAAGCTGCGAAAAATATCTTTGCAACCTTACCACAAAAGTTACAAGAAAAAAAGTGACGCTACAACAAAAATGCAGTCGTCAGACTATGAAAAGAAAGTACTGATGAAAATAAGATCATTTGTTTCTGTCGAAGAAAAATTGACAAACTATTACACACACACATACATGTTATTTTATTGACTTTGCTGTTTCCCTGCACTTTAATTTAAAACAAAAAAAAAAAAAAAGAAAGAAAAGGGTTTAATCCTGCATTTTCAGCCGGTCGCCTTGGTCATACAATAAATCAGAAGAAAATGACATTTCTTCCAGTTGATTCGAGGCAGGCAGTAAGCAGTAACTTTCTCTTATCATCTTAAAACACGTCTAAGACGATTAGGATGGAAGATGAGGAGGGGGGAGGGGGAAAAAAAAAAAAGCACAAATGAAAGGAAGTCCTGCGGGGCGTTTGTAGAGCAAACCGTGTTGAGGCCGTGTACGGCAGATGTGTTTGAAGACGCCTAATCTGATACGCCGCTAAAACGTGGCCTTTTCTTGGCGCATCAACAAAATCTAATTTGTTTTCATATACAATAATAATAATAAGAATAATAAATCTCCCTTGAGTAAGTAAGTGAGCGTTTGATAATAAAGCCGGCATCTAATCTTCATCTAGTGACCCATTTAGGGATATTTCCTAATCCAGTCACTAGCAGCGAATCAATTTGGAACCTTTCGCGCTGGGCTGGCCTTTTACTGCCGTCAATCAGATGATCGGCGTGACACCTCCAACCTGAGACTCGGGGGGTCAACGTGATTAGAATTAAAAAAATAATAATATGAAAAAAATAAATAATAATAAATCATGTCCACACGTGGGATTTAGGCCACGTGGACAGCTTGCTTCTTTTTATGATACATGATGACAAAGATTAATGTGACATCATGTGAAATCTTTAATATCGATGTGATTAATTCGTCATGCAGATGGCACGCTGAAAATTAAGACACAATCAAACAGTGACGGACACAAAAAGCGAGACATTATTTTAATCGTTAAAACAGCACGGCCCCCACCAAGTATTAGGGACACGCCGAAAGGGAAAGAAAGGGTCGGTTCAAATGAAAGGAAGGCGGAAAAAAATATATAACATAGCATTGCAAAAAAAAAAAAAAAAAGTTGCAGGCATACGGTTTTCTTAGCGATACTGAGAAAAAGAATAGACTGGAAAGAGTTGGGTCAAAGATAACACACTTAAGGGTCAAAAAGGGGACCAACTGTGACTAGGGTCAATTTGACCCCCTTTTTTTGTGGGCTTTTTGAGGACAAAACAATGCAATATTTGGCCTTGTTTTGTGGGGGTTGTTTCAAACCGACTCAAGTCGTGTTCGGTGCCTTTTGTGGACCCATAATTGTGTTCTTTTTGAGCTAACAGAGAAAAGTGTTACGGGAGGTTACAAGATTAAAGGCATAACATGACGAGAAATGTGCAATGTGACGAGAGTAAAGATGCAAAAAGGTGATAAAATCATAACAAGTGTATAAAAATAAAAGTCCATCTTTTGAAGATAAAAAAAATGTCGTAAGAGAGAGAGAGAGAGAGAGAATAGGCTTTCACTCTAATGCAATAAAATCACTTTTTGGGGGTTGTTTTTTTTTTTCTCCCTCTCTTCATAGTATAAGAGCCCTTCAATTTAAGAAGATTATGAGCGGGCGGGTATTACAGCGCGTATCATGCCTCGTCCATGTACCTTTAAAAAACAGACTTACTTTCTCATGTATGTCATGAAAGCATGATCACGGGATTACCGAGGGCAGCCAGTCAGACACCTGAGATGTGCGCAGCCCGAGATTAAATATGATTTCTGGGGTTTAAATGCCGGGATTTTCCCTTTGTTTTGATTTTCGGTGGACTTTGGAGAAAAAAAAAAAAAAAAAAACAAGAGAGACTCACCTAAACTCATTGAGGTTTCTGAGCAGATCGTGTTGGGAGGAAACAATAGTGCCCAGCTGCTGGTTCGCCACGTCCAGCTAAAATAAACAACAGCATGGTAGGAGGGGCTAACATTGGGAAAATAACATTCCATGAGCAACTTTGTTGCGACTGTTGAAAAATATCACCTCATTATAAAAAAAAAAAAAAAACACTTAATTTTACCCAAAAAAAGTTGCAAGATCACGAGGTAAATTAGTCTTTAAAACAAAATATCACCCCTGAAAAAAAAAAAAAAAACTGTAATTTACATAAAACCCCCCAAAATTCCGAAAATAAAGGCCTACTTTTTCCAATTTGAAACCCACCTGGGCCGAGCCGGCGTTGGCTCCACTCTTGGCGATCTCGTCGGTGACGACGGTCACGTAACGGCGCTGTTCGTCTAGGATCATGGCCAGTTGCCGATTGAGCTGCTTGATCTCCAAGTGGATTTGGTTCTGACCCTCAAACACCTGACGGATTTCTCGATCGTTCACGCTCTCGTACAAATCGTCGACTGCGGAGGGAAAAAAAAAAAAAAATCAGAAAACAAACAAAAGCGTTCATGATCTCATTTGTTGCGTTTTTAGACTCAAACACTCCCCATCGCAGACAGGGGAAAAAAAAAGAACAACAAAAAGAATATTGGCCACAAGTCAGCATTTTCTAAAACAAAATTCACAAGAAAATAATTGGAATGTGATGCAAAAAATATATAAAACCGAAAGTCATAATATTACAAAAAGTTGTTTTTGTAGGGGTGCGCTATTAGCAAAAGTGTTGGAAATTTAATCAAAATCATATAACAAGAATCACGCCAAATTGTCACAAGAGAATATTTTAGAAGATCGTCATGTAAGAATAACATCCTAATGAGATATCTCAAATCTGTTCAAAATGTTACGTAGAACAAGATCCAAAAGTGCACTAACTTGGCTCTCCTTGGACATCGGGGTGCTCTTTCTGGAACTCCTCTTTTTTCCTGTCAATCTCTTGCTGGAAGTTGTGGAATTCCTCCTGGTACTTGTCCTGGTCTTCTTTAGGAATCTCCCCTTCTGGTAGATGCTTCAAGAGGGCCGCCGCAGACAAAAAAAAAAAAACAAAAGAAAAAAAAAAAAAAGAAATAGAAAAGCTTGAGTGAATTCAAGAGGCTTGGACCGATTCATTTGCACACAAGCCGAGTCATTTGGAGGAGGAGTTCGAGCAAATGCAACTTACCGGTGCCTGGCTCGGTTCCATGAGTTGGTATAACAAGAAGGAAAAGACGTCGTGGTCATCTGGCACGAAGAAGAGTAATGTGGGGGGGGGAAACGTTCATTAAAATGATGGTCATGTATTGGGATAGGAAGATATTGGAAACAATAACACCAATGGTATGTGGAATAACTCAAAACGAGGGCCCAGGGATTACCTGCTACTGTGCCAGTCGCAGCCGAGAGGCCGAAGAAGCCCTCAGCGGGAATGATCATGTTGTCCACCTTGGTGCAGAACTCATAGTCGTCTTTGTCGGCAGTGAATCCGTTGCTGATCATCACCTGCGAAAACGCCAGCGGATTGGCGTGACAGCCAAACATTGACGGAAAGTGGGCCAAGCATGCCACCCCCCCCCCCCAAAAAAAAAGTGCACAGCGCCGCCACGTACCGTCAGTGTCTTTTTGTAGTACGTCACTTTGGCTCTGATGGGATACGGTTTGTTGCGGAAGTCTCGCAAACACGTGCCCAAGGCTTGTGTGCTGCCGTCCCTGCCAACACAATTTGCCGCATCACTGTGGTGGTCTCCGCCGGTGTGGGAAGCGGTATTTTTAATCGGGATCCTTTGACAACTTTACAACTTTGACAACAATAACATTGCAATGTACCCAAAGGGATGGAGCCTTGCCGCCAAAGGGGTTTCTTCTGCGTCTACAGCAGACCTTCACGTTTAGTTTTCCCCCTTTTAATTTTGTTCCCCCAATTTTTTTTTTCACTTTAATAAACCGTAACAGGTTTGGTATATTGTTTTTTTTTTTTTTTTCAATTAATAATCTACTCGACCAATTTGCATGTAACCACTGAATTATGAGATGACAGCAAGTAAAATATCGTACAAATTAGAGATGCGCATGCTAACTTTTTATTCGGCTGTAAGTCAGCAGTGGTTCAAATCAAGTCAAAAAAATATTTTAATCTTGATTTGAGAAACGAAGAAAATTCAAAAATTCGATCTTTTTCAGACGATACGGATCAGCTGAAAAAAAAATGACGCGATTGCTCCCGATTTCCGATGACATGGTTGGAGTCGGACAACTCTGGCAAAAATAGCTACGATGTCAACGAAGACGGGAAGTCATCGTGCACCTGCCACAAATATCGTTAAGATTGTGAGTTCATCTGCGATTCCTACCACAGCTTTGGGGGAAATCTTGTCAAAATGGTTTTGCCCACAAAGCATAGACAATAAATTAGGATTGAAAAAAATCAAATGGAAAAATACCCCATCTGATCCATAACCATTTTTTTGTCAACAACACAATACATGATCAAAATCGAGCAAATCGTCGCCACCAGAAGAATGAAACTCGATAGCACAATATATGACATTTTTTTGACCCTGTGTTGATTGAATACTGTATGTGAAAAACATCGACAAGTATCTGCTCGCGTAAACAGTGCGGATTGCGAGACAAACTGTTGCACTGTGGGGGAAAAAAAAAAAAAAAAAAAAAGTCATTTTAAGCTTTCACTTGGTCTGCGGGAGATTAGGGAAAGATAGGGGATTATTTCCTTTCAAGCAAATATAATCATATTTCCTAATCTTCTTTTAAAATTGCTCAAATGTGAGGTGGCGACGTCAGAGCAACGGAAGTGTTTACTTACTGCTTGTGGTCATAAATATTTTTGCCGTTGTTTCCCACGACGATGACGGCCGGGTTATTTTTCTGGAGGGGGACACAAAACATGCTCATCCTGAACAAATATGCACTCGCGCACAAATCGCAAACCGAAACGTGATCAAGCGCGACCTTTTGACCATTTGCTTGTCACGATGGCGGAATAAGCAAAATAAATGTCGATCATCGCCATCTTTGCCAAATAAAAATACTGCCAATAGGAATTTTTTTAAGCATTTTTGTTGTACAAGTGACTAATAATTCAAATTGGCCACCCCGCAATGCTAATAATTTGCCTCTCCTAGCCTTCGCCGTTCTTTATTCGGCGACTCCAAAGACACGTCTCAGGAATGAATCGGCGGACTGGACACCGACCTTTCCATCGTTGTCGAAGGAGTCGAAGAAAATTCCGACCCCGTTCCACTTGTCCGAGGAGCCGTACACGGGTCCCAGGTAGCCTTGAGCGTCAGTGAACCAGATGGCCTGTCGTTACAAAACCAGACAAGAGTACATTGAAATGCTTCTTGTGATTCAAACAACAGTACCAAACCAAAATGCCATCATTTTGCCCACCTCCCCCACCTCCCCGACCCCGAGTGAAAAACAAATACGCTTTTGGCCCGTGTGGAGGTCTCACGTTCAACACAGTATCCATCATTTTTAGGAAAGGAAGTCGGGAATGGATAACAAACGCCCAAGACACAAAATTGATGATTCACAATCAACTCTCGACCACAAAGCCTCAATTATCGCAGGCGCAAACACGCTCGACTTGTTTGTTGACAGCCAGTCAGGACAAATAATGTTTTCTCACACAACCTGTAAGGCAACCGGCGAAAAAAAAAAAAAGCAGCCGCTGCCTTTGGGCTATGTGAATTCGCCACTCCTGCGCTCGTTGTTCTGCCGTCATGGCGCGCCGCCGGCTGAACGCCATTCCAACCTTGCGCCTAGTCGTCATTGAATGCAGAGACTTGCTCTCTTGAATTCTTCTAAGCTAAAAATAAAAAAATAAGAATGAATCGTCATGAGTGCTTTGCAGAATTAGCCCGGACGGCTTTGAAAATGAGCACTTCCGTGTTGCCCTGCTGAATTTGACTCCCATTTTAACTCGTCTGCGGACATTTTGGTGTTTCTCTTACCGCATACACAGGTGGGCGAAAGAACAAGATGCTGGAAACAAGCGGCTACAAGTCATTTCTCCGCGGAGTGTCCCCGTTTTCTCCCGTGACGATTAAAACTTGACACTAGCCCGCGCATCCGTTTGAGAAAAATATCAAGAACGAATGAGTTGACCTCGATTGGACTTGCTTGACCTCAACTATGCTTGTCGTTATCTGATGTGTTTTATGTTTTACTAACCTCAGGTTGATTGCACCCGCACCGTACAATTAGAACAAGACTTTGCTTTCTAATTAGACTTGTTTTTTTTTGGCTTCTGTGGTTGGTTGGTTGGTTGTTTTTTTTTTTTTTTTTGGCTTCTGTGGTTGGTTGGTTGTTGTTTTTTTTTTTTTGTTTTTTGTCTCCCTGCCCAGGGAGAACGGATGCTAAATAGCAAACTCTGGTCCAATTTCCTTTTCCATTGAAATGCGAGGCTTGGCAGTGAACAAAAAGTTGGCAATTCTGAGGTCGTGGGTTCAAATCTGGGCTGTATCCTTCCTGTGTGAAATTTGCATGTTCTCAGTGATTATAATAACGAGAATAATAATAATAATGCATTTAAATTTGAAGAGCGCTTTCCAAAATAAGTCAACGATGCTTTCAAATTTTTAGAATAAGCTAACAATGAACTAAATATACAGGCAGACCCAAAAGGTTTGATGAAACGAGTTAGTTATTGATCAATTTAAAGAGTTGAAATTGGAAATGACACAAAAGGAAAAACAAAAATCTCCACCCTTAGGAACTTTCATTGCATTAACAAAGATAACATGGTTAAAAAAAATAAATAAATAAGCGAAGTGAGTGAAACAAAAGGGCAGCATAGAAGCCGGCGGGGTAAAACACAAACAAGCAAACACAGCCAAGGAGGACATTAGAATAAAGTTAACGTTCCTCACTCAGACAACATGAGATCAAATTACTCGGAAGCTCCTGTCGACTTCTTCTTACCAAGCCATCCGCTCCCATGCGGCCTCTTCCGGTCACCCGGAACATGACCTCGACCTCCCAATGGTTGAAGGACGCCTTGTTCTTGCACCATGCGGACCCCCGCTGACTCTTGAGGGACGGCGCGAGGCGCACCTGCTCCGCACTGGGGATGGCATCTAACCACAGAAATGAGAGATACGCTTTAAAACCGTGGGATTGGCACATACAGAAAGGGGATGGATTTACTAAGATCTTTACACGGTTCGGATTTTGGATCCGATCGCTGATCGGCGAGTTCATTAAAAAAAAGTCAGCCGAGTAATCATTGCAGCCCTTGTCCCAGTTCCCCAACATTTGCGACTCCTGACTCATCGACTCCTCAATATCTCTGCTGGAAGGCACAGTGGACACTCAATTTAACAGACCCGGAAGCAATTGACTCCAGATTGAGCAACGTTGATAAAGCAACATTGTTTGGTTGTTTATCTGCACACAGTTAATAAAGCAAAAGGTTCCGTGCCATCCAGGAAGACTGTTTAGCATAATGAAATTTCTCAAATGTTCTGGTTGTGAAAATTGATTTTTTTTTTCCAGTTTTAAGATTTGGTGTACTGTTGATCTTCGCTGGACTTGGACCTTGTGGACTCTGACTTGACTTGGACCTTTGTGACTCAAATTTGATAAAGGTGGACTTGACTGCAGCCTTCAAAGGTTGAACACGGTCGGTCTCTCGTGTCATGTCATGTACTTTATATCCTGACATGGTAATTTCCAAAAACGGAAACAACACTATGGTAGCTTACGTTGGAACGCTCTTTCTTGCCTATTAACAGTTTATGAGTGCGAGTGAATGGGGCGATAGTGTGATTTTGACTGGAGCGGAGGAGTTTGTCTAGCTATTTAAGACTGTTTTACTGTTACTGATAGTAGAAGTCTCATTTTGAAGGCTTTTATGTTTTGTGCTTTATTTTGTGTACATCAGATTGTGCGATTTGTCCGATGTCTTTATTTGTATTTACTTTTGCCATGTTTTGCTCGACTGTCTGCAGCCAGGTCGGCATCGTAAATGGGAATCTGTTTTCAATTGGATGAATACATGAGTAAAGCAATAAAAACAGAGCCTCTTAATTGTAATACTGTTGGCCTTTCGTGTATCTAGATCTAACTGTCCCTAAGCGGTACTTGATGAATCGAGGCTGCACAGTCGAGTCCACTATCAGCTGACTGAGCACCAATCCAGATGCTCACGTTAAACTCGTGACGCAACGTCCAACTTTAACGTTGAATGTCTTACTACTTTTATCTCATTCATTGACAGCTGTCAAAGATGCACGTTCACTGGCAAGGTTTAATTGGGTTCAACGTGGCGGTTAGCGCCGCTAGCCCGGCTATTTTGCCGTTGTGGCTTTTGCACGACCGGGAAGACGTTGACATCTGCACTTACTGCCCATGTGTATCCAGAAGGGGATCGTGCCGTTCGCCTGGACCAGATGGGGCCACTTAAAGCTATACTTGTACTCGAAGCGGCGGGGGGGGGCCGCGGATGCGGCAGCACACGAGCATGACGGGATTGCCCGGAGGCCAACAGGGCGCCTTCTGATTGGTCCACGCCTCTCGCTCACACAAACTTGCTACGGGGAGCCTCCGGGGATGTGACACGACACGCGTCGTTTTGAGTAAAGCCAACACGGCGGGGGCTGGTCCAACTCGACGTCAGTACATCGTGGGACAGAGGACAAGTTTAGATGTCCACAGCCCGCTGTCGAAAGAAGAAGGAGAAGAAAAAAAAATCAGAAGAGCCCCAGCTATAGGAAAAAAAAACTTATTTAGTTGCCACACATGTAGCACTTGACATTAATGGTTTACAACAGTGGTTCTCCATCTTTTTTTCACAGCTCTATGTCCCACCATAATGGAATATTTTGAGTATAAACATTGTGCTTGTTGCAGAAATAGAAAAAAAAAAGTTTCTTACATGTTGCATCCATCCATTTTCCCATCATTATCCTTACTGTAGGGCAGTGGTTGGCAGCATGCTCCCTGCAGGCCAAAATTGGCCCGAGGCCAAATATATCTGGCCTACCCGATGACGTTGATGGAGGGGGAAAAAAAGGATAATTAGAGATGTAACTAAATTCACAGAATGAAGCGTGCCTCCATGTCGTCATGGTCTTTCAGAGCCATTCAGCGTAGCATCTTGAAGTTTGTTTGGCATGTTGCTTGGAAGTGCTCCACTTCCATGTTTTGGGTTATTCCCAATACAGACAACTTAATTCAGGCATCTGAGTGGCTTCCTAACAGAAGTGACAATTGTGACCACTTCTCATGAAATACACAGATGATTGGCTGTCAAGCCCACAAGACATGACTTCTATGATGTATGTAAAAAGACAAGACAGCATATATTAACCAATGGAACAATATGAATTAAAGGACACATTGATTGTGGGCACTTCAAATGCACTGAGTAGCCCCAGATTTCTACCAGGGCCACCCCTGTCACTGGTGACCCGCATGTGGATGCATTGTTTCCCCAAAAAAACCTAGAAAGACAATGAGATTGATCAAACAAAATCTAGCATCACTTAAACAGATGAGCAACTAATTCATTTCTGTGTCAAAATGATTGTGTCGTAAGCTTTGGCTCTGCACTGGGTTGTGAAAGCCTCGGCGGGAGATGCAAAGTGACACGAATGAGACACCATTGACTTTCTGTTGACTTTGACTGGTTCCGCCCCCGTGTACAGAGGGGGCCCCAGTGGCCTTGGTCTCGGCCCGGCCCGCTCCTGTCGAGCCCCGGCACAAAACAGAGCTATTGTGGCAACGCTAATCTGGGGATTTTGACTCTTGTGGCGCTGGCGCTGATCAGCAAATGGCAAGAAGTGATCTGTAAGGCTTTAGACTGATCAGGTTTCATGTACTCTGCCGGTGTCATTTCATGTTGAACGCCAAGATTTTGTTTATCCATGAAATCCATCAACATGCATGGCAGATGTGATTTTTCTTTTTTTTTTTTTTCATCATTAAACAACATTTCTTGTCTTCAGCTTTGTCTTTGAAAATAAGAAAACAAAAAGTGTAGGTTGTATCCTTTGTGTGCTATGTATTTAAGATAAGATAAGATTTACATAAATTGTAGAATATTTGGGAAAATACACTTTTGTTTAAAAATACAAATTTCTTTCTGAGTTTTTATGTCCACTCTGAAAATTAAAGCAACACCAACATTTGAAGATAACATATTTATTAATTATGTATTTTTCAGTATTATTATGAATCACTAAATATATAAAATAAGCCTTTTTTACTATCTTAGCTACCACATATACCGTAATTCACATGTATTGTTTTTTTAGGATGTATTATTGGCAACGTTTTTTTTCGGCTCAAAATAAAGACAATAAATCAGAGCATTTTTTTGATTGTGTTTTGACCCTGTCAGGTAGTTCAAAAAGGAATTGTACACCACCGCAAACTACAACCACAACACGCTTTGTTGAGGCCGCATGTTTTTTGGAAGCACAGTTTAAAAGCTCAGTGGATATAGAGAATAAAATAAACAAGAGCTCTCTGTGCCTTTGTGACCAAAGTCCTCATTAGGGAGTTAAAGCTGCACTCCTTTGAGGGCAAATGTGATTTAAAATGACAAAAGCCATGCTAATAGCTCAATTTAGCCATGCACAATGACAACCTGCTGGATGTTAACGGGTCAGCGCTGCCTGTGAAAACCTCATCTCGGTCACCGGCGCAAATATTTGCCCAGTCAATTATATGCCGTTGTTGTCAACGTGTCATGTGTGAACCAATATATATAAAAACACCCTTGATTATGTTTTTTTAAGGTTCGGGTGACGAGTCGACCAATCACAGCTCACCTTGCAAATGTCACATGACCAAAGTAGAAAACAGTGGACAGCAGATGATGTCCTGCATAATCGATAAAAATAGATCGAAGGCACCATATCACGATAGTATCGACATCTCCCAAGACATATTTTATGGTTGTGTTACTCTTCGATTCCCGCCGCTATTCCCTTCTTTCAATCTCAATGCAGCTTTTTGTGTATCGTAATGTTGAACCAAGTACAGTGCAGTAAGTAGGAAATTCTATTTTTTACGGTGTTTCTAAAGAGAAAACACAAAAAAATGATTCGCCCCCTGAAAGTGGCTGAGTGCCGCACATGCTCCGTCCTCACAATGCCCAAGGGTCCCACCTTTGAGAGGGGGGCTTCGCTCCAACGAGGTCCAGTGTGGTCCGGCCTGGAGTGGGTTAGGCCACTCATCGGACTTTGGCACATTCATTTCAGAAGCGACCTTCTTTCTCATTATTTAAGCAATGGCGACAATAGCATACAACCCCCAGCCCCCCCCCCCGCACCCCTTTATGCGCACAAGTGTGGTGGGAGTGGTGCCCCGCCTGGTCTTAAAAAAAAAAAAAATACCCTCAACGTTCCCTTTCTTGCATTTGCCGCAACGGATTTCTTTCTTAGTCTTCAGGCCTCTCATTAACTCCGCACATGCTTGCAATGGCTTGAAGTGGGCGGGCCTTGTGAAAAAGCGACCAATTAGGGGCCTCATCAGCTCCAATTAGCCGAGACAAAGCCAGAGTAAAGATAACTCAATGAGAGAGAGGGAGAGAGAGAGAGAGAGAGAGAGAGAGAGAGAGAGTGTACTACAAGTACCAGTAGTTTTCATGGGTTTAAAAATAGGTTTGAAAAAGTGTCATGGAGTGCGTGATGGTACTGGAGTGATTAACTGATGTTTAGACCCAAATCTAGAAAGATTGTGTACAGCACATGCATGATTCCTAATCCTTCCCAACATTCAACAGAATGATGAGTAATTACACATGTCATTACACAGTAATTACACAAGTCTATTGACTCTTTATTTATGTATTACTGGCACTCTTTAGGTGATTTAAAGAGAGAGAGAGAGAGAGAGAGAGAGAGAGTATGTGTGTGTGTCAGTCCCGTGTTCAAAAACTTCACCATTCACAACAGGAGGTGGGGGTGGCTTCTCTCCGGGACCAAGTGTTGTTGTGCTGGCAGGGCCCCAGGGCCCCCCAGGAGTCCCAGAAAGAGAGCCATTCAATCCTCTTTTACCTGTTTGCAATCTCTTATTATTGTCCGCGTCCACTCTCTCCATACTTCCTTCAACAAGAGGAGGGGGCTGGATGGATGTTAAGGGGGTGCCTTTCACCTCATTAGAAGCGCATTTGCACTGTCCCCTAGCCGCAACATTGTATTTTTCTTTTTTTTCTTTTACATCATAATCTTCGCTGAATGGAGGATTTTTGGGGCGCTTAATTTGCCGCCCACGCAAAACGCATTCATTAATGAATTGGGTAACACTAATTTTCTCCTATTCAAGGGGTGCATCTTTTGGAGCTAAATAACGAGGGGGGAGGTGGTGGTGATGGGGAAGATATAATTAGGAGACAAGGGTCCACTTCAGTAAATATTTGGAATCTTTTAAGGCTTACCCTCGATTAATTACTTCCACAAGAGATTTTGGTAGAGGGAAATGAAGTGCCAACTTTCCTCTAACAAGATAAGCTTGTTGGGAGGGGGGGGGGGTGTTCTTCAATTGGGGTGGACCGCCATTTTAATCAAACGCATGCTCGGAAAATGGGCTCGTTACGGACACAAAGGCACGACGCGCAAACAGTGAGGTCATGTTTTGTCGCTTGTTTACACAAATAAAGACGACTTGGAAAAGGCGGATAGTGTTGATCATTACGCTGACGCCATTGTGGCGAGAATGCCAGCTGACAACCCAGAGCGGGCTGCCGAGTTGTGTAACTGCATAAAAAAACTATGTTGAAGTCAAACAACTCAAGACTATTTACAAAAAAATGATTGGAATGATAACAAGGTCGTGAAACATTAAAACAAATTTAATCGTTATCTTTTGAGAAAAATCTTCATTTCAACAACGAAAAAGGATAATGCATTGTGCGATGTCATATCGCAAGGAAAATTCTTGTAAAGTATTCCGAGAATAAAGTCTGATTTCTTATTACCTGAGTAATGTTGGAATTTTATAGATGGCGCTGAGTATTATGTTGATGCCATTGCCACGTTAATGGCAGCTAGTTACTGATGAGAAACTTACCAAAATTTATAACAACAAACAAAAAGTTTTAAGTTGCATTTGCATGAGGAAAAAAAAATATTGTCATGGAGAAAAAAAAATCACAATTTGGGATGAACATCTATTTGTCTTTTTTTTTTTTTGCATACTAGGAGCACACATAGCCAACTATTAGAATGGCCAATTGGCCCAAAGTTAAAGTCGGGCGGACTAATTACGAAAAAACTTTTTTTTTTAATGTGTACATTTTCTCTTTTATTGGCGTTGTAGGTATGCACTAAAAAAAGATACAAGATAAGTTATTTTGAAGACTCCCCAGGACAGACGCCTGTCCGTTGTAGGTATGCACTAAAAAAAAAAAAAGATACAAGATAATCATTTATTGCAAGTTATTTTGAAGACTCCCCAGGACAGACGCCTGTGGGTCTCTGCACCCCAGTTTGGAAGTGCTTGAAATTGCTTTTGAGTGGTGCTGAGAGGCCGGCGTCCAGTTTGTTGTGAACCATGACTGCGACCTAGTGGTTTGCAGTGGTAGTGCGGCTCTCCATACAATTGGGGCGTCCTGGCTGCGATATCATGACGTCACGGCAAGAAACCAAAGCAGAACGTCTTGTATTTAGTTGGCAAAGCGGCAGTAAACTGAACAACTACAGAGAGGTTGGACGTCACCTCAAAGGATGAAGTTTACGCTTCTTAAATCAGCGTGCTCATGCAGTGAAACATCCGAGACCATAAGAACCTACAGAAACATGCCATAAAGTAGAAATATGCATTTGGAAAAACACAAAGAGCACAAGTAGGTCATAATTTTGAACTGGCATGTAGGAATGGACATGGTGCCATATTATTGTTTACGTAAGAGGGCAATGAATAGTGTAGTTTTAATTAAAAAGAAAAAACATGTTCCTGTTCCTTCTTTGTGATAGTTATAAACCACTATAAATATTTATGTTGTGAAGTCGTGTATATGAACTGCAAAAAAAAAAAAAAAAAAAAGTTTATAATATTTGGTGAAGTGCTCCCATTTGTCTCATCGAAGCTCCCCAACTCACATCAACATAACTCCTTTGGACCAAGATGTCATAACATGGCAGCAAAGCACTACATTTGATGTCACAGTTTAAAGTTTTATGGTGGCGACATTTTGGCCCTGGCACAGATTATTTCCAATATTTTCCAAAGTCTCCATTTTGGAAACACGCAGAGAAGCACAAATGATGAACGACACCAACGGGGCACGTCACAGTTTTCTTACCACGTCTGTGGTTGTTTTTCAAGAAAACAACAATGACATGTCGCACCTAAGATTAGAATTTTTCTTCTTCCAAAAGTGGATGAGGTCAAGGGGGAAAAAAAAAAAGTTCAAATAACAAAATTTTATGACTTAAACGCAGCTGGAAGCCCAAAAGAGGCCCAGCGCAGCCTCTTGAACTTTGGTCGCAGTAAATATAATTCGTGAATGTGATCATATTTGAATATAAATTACTTTGATTTACTAGTGCACCTACGTAGCTACGAGTGCAACAAATGTTTACACCAAAAAATTGAAAATAAGAACACTTGCAAGAGCGATTCCAATTCAACTCTACACTTGTTGTGACTTTTGTCCCACCGTAAAGCGATTGCATTTTAGAAAACCATTTCATGTCTTGACATTCTCTTTTTAAAAATGTTTTATTACTTCTTACAAATTACAGTGCATTTTCTCTGAGTTACAAACACAATTCAAATTGTTTTTTTTGGGGGGGGGGTGGGGTGCTGGGATAAATGTCATTTCAGTTTATTTGAATGGAAAAACAAATGAGCTGACATATAGTGGATCCCCCGTTATTCGGGAGACAGGGGCCATCCCAGCCTGTAAATAGCGAAAATTCGTGTATAATCGACAAAATTGATGATAATTGACAAAAACACCCCTGATAAACCTCCAATATGCGATTTTCACCAAAATGGGGGTTGGCTATAAACCAAACCAAAGAAAAAAAAAATCAGCAACTCAGTCAGAGACATTCCGGGCGTCGATCACAGAAAATAAAATACCAGGAGCCACAAAACGCTTTTGCCATCTAAAGAAAGAGAGACAGTGCAATCCTCATTTTAGATGGCAAAAGGATATCTCTCTCTCTCTCTCTCTCTCTCTCTCTCACTTATTACTTATATATGTATGTCAACATGTATGATAAACTACAATGTGTTGTATCTGTCAAATCAAAAAAGCTAGGACGAGCAAAAACATTATATCCCTGCATGTAACAAAAACATTTTGAACCCCGAAACAAAAGCCGCACGGTTAAAGCTTCCTTCCAAACAAAATAGTCAACAGTGTCAAATTAAATATTTATTTTCCAAAGTCACGGTGGGGAACCCACAGCGGGCAGATGAACGAGCCACATGTGGATCTAGAGCCGCAGGTTGCAGACCCCTGTACTAGTACCGCTGTATTAGTACTATTGAGAACACCAATAAGTCAAAGTACCACTCGATTTCCTAACTTTTGTTGAATTGGTCCGTCAACAGACCAATTCAACACTTTGACCTTGTGAGTGTCTTCCTCTGGAAAACAATCCAACAACAGAGTGCACTGTGTTACGAAACTAAAAATGTAATCTTGCCAGAATTTTTTTTTTTTCCCCTCTGAAAATGATGATTTTAGAAACATACACCGCCTTTTTTGGTTGAGAAAGTATAATGCAATCAAATCTTTAGTTCATGGGAATAAAGTTGTACATTTACAAGCGGCGGAGGGGGAAACAGACACAAAGGCAGCAAAAGCAAAGAATAACAATACTTTGAATTGTTACATGTCACGCTATCAGGCTGAAATGTGTGTGCGCGCCTCTGTGTGTATATGACATTAGTCACGTTGTTATCATTTGTACCGCGAAGAGTCTTAAGTGCATAAACGATTAACACGTGTGATATTACATCAGCGGTGTGAAGCGGAGATTTACCGCAGCACTGGGAAGCATGTCAACGACCCTTAAAAAAAAAAAAAAAAAAAAACATTTACATTATCATCCGCCAGTTGTTTTGCTGTTACTACGGCGACAAAGCATCACAGTGGACTCATCTTACACCTGGCATCAATCTCGAAGACGATTTGACGTAATTGTTAGACTGCTTTCTCGTACATGTTCAAAAGTACAAATAAAATCAATAGTTGATTCGCAGCGATGCCTTCGCAGAGCTAAAAAAATGTTGGTTTTGGTCAAGGATAATCAATTATTCACAGATTTTGGCTATTCACGGCGGGGCTTGGTCTCCATCCACCCGAACAGCAGGCGAGCACTCTTGTACGATAATTGAAAGCCGTATGTCACTGAGCGGCGAAAGTTCGCAGGTTTATGCGCACCCACGGAATGTTGCTTTTTCATCAGGGGTCATTCAATGTCACAAACTGTCGCAAAGACGTTCGCCGACAATTTCAATGGTCCCAAACAGTTTTTCTCGTCGCAAAAGAAATGTTCAAAATTCGATGGTGACAAGAAAAACTGTTTGGGAATGTCTGGCGAACGTCTTTGCAACGTTGAACAAACGCTGACCCAGCAAAAACCCCCCCAAAACAAAACGTGCGGTTCTGTGAGATATGTGCTTTATGATAAAAAATAGGAATCACGTGATTTTAACAAACAATACTATAATAAGAGAATGATAAATAAATCAAGTACAAAGAATGTTACTGCCAATAATAACCCGAACGAGATGACGTATAGTAAAGTTCTTTCATTTCAATGTGCTGGGAAGGACGTCAAAAACAACCATCATCTTGCATATATATGTCATAGAAAAATAAATATCTGTGACCCAAAAGGCATACGATACGTTCTGTTAATAGTTAAATAATATTAAAAAAATGTACACCTCACATTGAGTATTTAGAATCCATTGCTGTTGGTTGTGCCTCGCGGTGGCTTCCTCTTGCGGGTCCTCTTGGAGTGCGGCGGCGGCGGCGGCGGCGGCGGCGGCAGAGTCTCTCGAAAGTCCTCACCCGATCCCGCATCCTGGCCGTCTCGCCAGGGGCCGGGCGTCGCGGGGAGCTCCTCCCCCGGGTAGAGGGGCGCTCGGCCGTACACCTTGATCTGCAGGTCGGCGATGTCATTGCGGATGTCGGCCATGAGGAGCAGCAGGAAGTCAAAAGAGCCTGGAGGGCCCTACACGTTGACGACAACAAAGACGTAAGGAACGAACAGTGAGAAAAGCGGATTAGAACATGCAGTCAACCGTTTTCTATGGCGCTCGCCCCAATTTGGGTCATAGCTATTTGGGCGACACCGTGTTACAAAAAAAAAAAAAAAAAAAAAAAATCATAGAATCACAATTTGACAAGATGGGTTTGCTGCAAAATAGTTTGTGAGAACATTGTAATTTCCCATGAATTTAACTGAAAATTTCAATCAATAAAATTTTATGTCAAATACAATTTCTACTAGACCAGAAGATTTTACATGATTTTTTTGGGGGGGGTGAAGGAAATTGCATTTCCTGAGAATAAAACAAATGCTCACAAGAATACATTTGTGATTTTACAAAGTACATAAACACAATTGCAGCTTTACAAAAGTGCAATTTTTTTTACAAGAATAAATTCTTAATTCATAAGAGAATAAAATTATTTGATGAGACTACAAATGTCGTTTTATGAGAACAAGTTGTTATTTTACTATGAAAGAAAAAAATATATATTTTTGGGGTCCTAAAATTTTTAGCTCGACAAGCATGGCAGGATACAGTCATACAAGTGTGATTTTATGAGAATGAAACTGCCATTTTTAACAGAAAAAAAAATCTGAGTAACATTTTTAATTGATCTATTCACATGAATAGAATTGAACTTTGAGTTCCTTTAAGACTACCATTTTTTTTTCCCACAAATATAACTTTACAAGAGTTAAATGTCATTTCATACTGGAGTAAAGTTATCATTTCATGAGTATGAATAAAATTCTGATTTGATGTGACAGTAATTGTGATTTCATCACAACAAAACTGCAATTTTTAAGAGAGCGCAACATTTTAATCTTAATGTTACAAGCGTAATACTTTTTTTTTTTTTTTACCCACATATGATTGTCATTTTTATAAGTCCAAAGTCAATCACGTTGTCCTAGTTGATGTGCTCCACTGTTACTCCTCCTCAAGAGCGCCGTTTATTTTTGCGTCTGTCTGCGAGCGACACTGAAACGACAGCGCTAGTTTTTTTATTAAGCAACAGATTTTTAGGTGGCAAATGTCTTACCGGAGGTCCAACAGGCCCGGGTGCTCCTCGCTCACCCTGGAGAGTAAAGAAACAAATATTTAGTTTAGATGAATTTGAGTAAAGGGGAACACGAGAGGAATTCATAATATTGTACTTTTTTTTTTCTCTCTCTCCTTTAACGAGTGTAAAAGCAACTGTGAAGAATGACTGTTGATCTACGGTAGCGCTCTTTTGCCCGACCGCTGAGGTAGTTCGGCGGGGGGTCACGTTGGGGCTGCGAGTGTTTTGGCAGATGGTTTGGATTTGTTACTCGGAGAGACAGATTAGCATCACCCTCCAATCTATCCACACAAACATCCCCGTTGCGGGAAAATTGAAGGATTCTGTGTATCCTGTGGCTAAGGCACCTGAATTGGACCGCACCAGCGAGCTGCTAAAGCCGAGCAAAAAAAAATCGGTATTAAGGTAAGTGGCACAGTTCCAAAAGATGTCATAAGTTCATTAAAATTCAATCAAGAGGGGTCGTCTTTGGCTACGTTGTGATCTCAAGTACTGTTACAAACCATTTGAATTGTGATTTATATGATGTGGAAAAAAAAAATCGGGATGATACTTTTGGGTGAGGGGGGGAACTGTGAGATTTTTTTTTTTACGTCATGTAAAATGTGTACCTTGGCCCGATCAAGGTTGGGAAATAATTTTGTATTTAACCGATCAGGTTCCGATAAGTTCCCTGTGACGCGTGCATTCTTTTACAAAATGCAATGCCTTAATATATAATATGAATATTTTTACAGTTTGTATCTTAGGCCTAAATTGGAGCGGAACGCAAATCCAGCCTTCACGTGTCTGAGAAAAAAAAATCCGAAACGAGGCAGAAAAGACAAAACGTTAACAGACGTCTCGTTCTGAAGTTTGGCGCATCTTGAAGCCTTTTGGTTTCTCATCAAGGTGAAGCAGAGCAGAGCAAACCATTCCAGTTCTCTGACGAAGCCTTCAAGAGAAAAAGCCTGAAATATCCCAGACGTGCCGAGTGGTCCCGCGGGATTTTCTTAACACCGATTGAGAAAAAAAACTTAATGGCCACTTGAACAACTCCAAATTGTTCGCCCCCGCGTGTGCTCACTTTTGATTTTCCCGGCGCAAAAAAAAAAAAAACCCAAACATGTTTGCACTTGAGTGGATCACAGACGTCACGAACAATCAGCCGTACGTCTTAAATCCGATTCGGCAACTTCGACTGTTAGCAATCATCGCCGTGTAGCTGACACCGAACCTCTATTAACCGCAGCTGAACTTGTTCCCAAACGTCATCTCACCTGGTGTCCGTCTTTTCCCGGCGCTCCCGGCGCCCCCTGTTGGACAAAGACAGCAGCTCATATTGGTTCAAGCTTACGCATTTTAATTGTGTTCAGTAAAGATGATGAGCTCGGTTAATGACTGACTGACTGACTGACTATGTTTGGTCCTTGTTATGGTTGGCGGTGTGGAATTTGATTTGATTTCAGGTCAGCTCAAATGAACTCATTCACTCCCAAAGACGTTTTTAAACGTCTTTTCAGACTTGGTCCAGAATTGGCTGGTACTGAATGAGTTAACACATTTACAGGACTTTGAAATCATGAGTTAAAAAAAAAAAAATTTAAAAAAGAAGTTAAGAGTTTTAGAGAGTAAAATAAAGCCAACTAAAATAATCTAAAAAAAAAAAATAAATAATTAAAAAAAACAACCTCGTATCAAGTAAAAGCATGTGTAGAATTAATATAAGAAAAAAATAGTCCCGACGTGCCCGTTTAAGCGAGAAAGAAACCGTTGCGAGAACAGGAGATAGTCGTACGACAGTAAATATCGTGTCACAATCAATTACGACGAGAATAGTAAAGCCAGAGAATCACCAGGGAAAGTTCTATGACGTGACAACGTGATGACAAACAAAAAAAAAGTCCTAATTGTTAAAAAGTCCTGAAGCCTTCTGAATTGAGACAAGCTTTTTAAGCTAACCGTTGTCAGTGCGCATGGACTGCTGTAAGTATCCCAAACGACATCGACACAGCGCTAATGAGAACGAAGAGGTTTTCGGAGACGAACATATGTAATTAAAACCCTCCGAACGCTCGCCGCAGGCCTTTGTGAGGTTTTGGCCCGGTGAACGCCGCTCGCTCGTCTGATTACGGGTGTTGATAGTGTCGTTCATCAACGTGGCGACGCACAAACCGCATCCTGCGCATTCTTGGTCGACGTCCCGGTTTCACTAATCAACATGAAAGGATGACGCTCGCGGGCAGAGAACGTAACCCGGCCAAAGAAAACCGCTTGTCAGCGGATTAACCCTTCGTCATTCTTCCCTCAAAAAGGTCGTCAACCTTGCGCCGTTTCAGGCTTATCTGAAATGTATCGGGCCTTAATAGGTTGTGTTAATAACCGTAAATCAACTCCGCATATTTGCATGTGATGTCATACTGCAAATGAGTCATACAAAGTTGCAGTGTAACGATCATCTATTTAAGGGAGAAATGAAGTTGTGGAATCATGAGCGGAAAGAAAAAAAAAATGACATCAAAATTGTCTGATGACAACGAAAATGAAATGTACGTTCGGAGGTCAAGTTACGAAAAAAGCGTTCAGCAGAACATTGTTGTCAATTTCCCAGAATAAAGCGTTGCACGGTATCAACTGACCACAGGTCCGCGAGGGCCTCGTTTGATGTGGGACAAGTCTGGTGTGGGCCCCAGGGGACCCATCAGGCCCCTTGGTCCGGGAGGGCCCGGGGGCCCCGACTGTCCGACAAGACCTGGCTGTCCCGTTGGTCCTGGATCTCCTAAACAAAAAGTAAATAATTAAACACAGACGTGTTGTTGAAACCACTGGAGACATACATGATAAACTGTGGGGGGAAAAAAAACCATCTTAATATTCCATCAGACTCCGTAATCGTTCGGGCTGCGTGGTTCTGTCAAGTTTGTCGCTTTTTTGAGGCTTTAATGGTTTAATAAGATGCGCCTTTACCTGGTGGACCAGGCAGACCCGGTGGTCCCGTTAAAAAGGCAGCTGGGATTTTCTCGTTGGTCCTCTGCTCTGGAACATCAGGACTGCTTGACAGTATCTTGTGTGAAGAAAGAGGTGGTGGTGGTGGGGGTTGGGGGGTAAATAACAACAATGGTCTTGTATTTATTTCTGAAGTGGGCGTTTTGAGATGAAGCGATGAGGCAAAATGAATGAGAAATGCACGAAATGCAGATGATCACCGCGCACCCTTCCTGGGCAGCTCTTGATGCACCTGACACCCCTTTAGCCCCTCCCACAGGCGGAGCTTATCCAACACCTTGCGAACATTTTCGCAGCCGATGTGAAATCAGAACTTCGGCACATATCACAAAAGTTCAAAATCTACCCAAATTTCCATCCATCCATCCGTGACCTGAACTGCTTCTCCTCTACGAGGATTCGCGGGCGTGCTTCGTAAATTTGACGCTCGGTAGAAGGTAAGGTAGGTCAGAGAAAACAACCACACAATATGATGAATTAGTACATCTTTCAAAAAGTCGATGGCAACTGGGGATTATCGTCTTGTGTGGTGTATCTAATATTAGGCGTGTATAGAGCTGGAGTACCACCACATGACGGGAAGCAATTAATCATGTGACCCAGAGCGCCACGAGTGGCAGATGGATTCCTGGAGGGAAATGCAAGTCCACCGTTGGCTTAATGCTGTCTAATTCGCACTCGGAGAAAGACATTAAGTGAAGTGAAATGTGGTCCAGGCGTTTTTTTTTTTTTTGGAATAAAGGATGAAATAAATAAAGTAGTGTATTACACCTCCAGGGGGCTGTTCACGTGCGACTCCCGCTATGATAGAACTGTGTGGAAAAATAAAGGCGGGAGATGGTTTCTGCAGATCTCCACAATGAAGACTTAAGCGAGTGCTTACATCAAGTTTTTTTTTTTTTTTTATTTGCAGTGTTGGGCAAGTTACTTCCAATGTGTGATATATTCCGAATTCATTATTGTGATGCAGTAGGATGTGTGAACGATGAACTGCAGTACGAATAACATTGATGAGCGTTGGTGATTTCAGGTTCCATTTTGAGCGCTCGCTCACCTTCTGTTTCAGCTGCAAAACGGTGGCCTTGATCTGCTGGAAGTCGTCGCACGTGGCCGAGCAGGTCCCCGTGTTCATCACATTGTCAGATTTCTCCACGATATGATGCAGCGCTGTTAGCGAGACCATTGCCATCATTTTTTTTGTTTTTTTTTTAGAATGTTCAGAGGACACGTTTTACAAATGAGAGAACAGATCAACCGGTTTATGACACATACTTCCATGGGTCATATATTTGCTCAATAAAAACAACATGGCTACAAAAAAAAAAAAAAACAAAACTTTCATTTCCCCTATTGCACGATATCATCGAAACACACGCCGCTGCGTTGGTGACGAACGTTCCGACACAAACGAGTATGGTTCACGTTTAATTGACAAGGACAGAAGCAGGCGGTCGCACAGTGCCGTGCGGCCGACGTTTGGACGTGTGACATCACACCTCGCGAGCCGGCCGCCAGTCATGGGTCGGCCCTTTGAGCGGGACCCGTGTGCCGGGATTTTTCCGCCGTCGTTCCCATTTACTCCCCTGGTTGGGTAATCAGAGGAACAATCATGAAAAAAGGTCAGCGCACAGAGCTCGCTTTTGTTTCCACGCGCATACATTAAATGGCAGATTGACAGTGTCGGGCACCACGTTGCTTTTGCTAAACCGAGGAGACACCCCTGGGAGGAAAGACCGCCTCATTGGCGACGGAATGGGCGTGAACATCCTTATTTTTTATTTATTTTTATTTTTTTCATCTTCCGAGTCCTTTATGATGTTTTCCTCAAGAGCATCAAGGCAAAGCAGGGAAGGACCTCGGAGTGGAAAGGTTCAAAGTTTACGCTCGGGAGGGAAAAACTGTTCTGACGCGCCATATGTAATGACTACCAGGTGCGTGCGGACTAACGCGCGCGCGGCGGCGCGCACACATCCCCACCGACGAAGACATACAGTGCCCCAACATAACCCCAACATTCACACATTCCCGTTTGTGGTAACACACTCCATCAGTAATACATCTCCTTTCGAACGCTACTTGTATTCTATGTAATACAGAGCAGTCATATGTCAAAAGAAGCTAAACTCCGTTTGTGAGCATTTTATACAGTTTGGGCACACCAGATAGTTGCTTTTGAAACTCTGCGCAGCGGTGGGGCTGATGATAATTTTTTTTTGATTTTCATTATTTAAATGTTATCTCTTTCAATGTGCCTCAGCTGGGCGGTGCCCTCCAGTTGCGCCCCACAAACAAACCACTGACCTCTCTTTTCTTTGCTGCATGTTCGCCCATCTTCCCCCAGGAAGAAGCCTGGATAGCACTCGCAACGGAAGCTCCCAACCGTGTTGATGCAGAGTTGGGAGCACGCCGTCGTATTGGTGTCACCGCATTCATTGATGTCTGTCAAAAGCACACAAAATTAGGCTGAATAATATTATATGCGGTATGCTTCATACGCCGGAGACACGGTTGGGGTCAAGGTTTATTTACAAAGCGCTGCCTAAAGTGTCGCCCATACTAAAATATAACATTCTGAAGAAACAATGGCGAGAGAGAAAAATGATTTTTGAAAAAAAAAAAAACAAAAGAAAAATACGAATTGAAAACAATAAGTTGCAAATGTCCAGCTCAGCTTGTGTTACATGCGGGGCATTTAAAACATAATCTAAAACCCTGTGATGGACAGGCTATACTTTAACACTAAAAACCAACAAGAGGAATTGAATAACATGACCAAAAAAAAAAAAAAAAAATAAAAAAAAAAAAAAAAAAAACTGGGATATGACATCATCAATACACTGTACTGCCAATTGGAGGGCCAGATGTCCATCACAATGGCAGGGTATTTATGACGTTTGCTGTGGTCAGCACC